TCTCGGTTTATTATTGCTAAGATTCATGAAAATCGTAAGCTATTAGATTAATAAATCCATGAAATCAGTAATAGAAAAAAAAATTCATGAAACCGTTTTCATACATGTTGAGATTGGTGCATGGAGTAAGTGAAAAATGATTATGAGATGGGTGCATGATGAAACCAGTTTTATACATGGTGAAATTGGTGCATGAAGTAAGTGAAAATGATTATGAAATGGATGCATGATGAAATGGGTACAACATGAAACGGGTACATGATGATATGGGTGCGCGAACAATCTCATTGGACAAGTGAAACAGTGTGCATGATGAATAGAGTTAGGAGTTTACCATAATAAGATGAACGATGAATAGGGTGCATGATGAAAATGTGGTTGAGTTTACCATTTTGCCCTTCTCGCTATTATAAAATAAAAAATTTAATATATATTTTTTTAATTTCCTAAAATAAATTAAACTAATCTTGACCATTGATCAAGAAAATAGATTGATGAGATTGGTTTATATAATTTACATAAATGGGGGCGGTTTTCATTTGATCGTTCATATATATATATATAGGGAATGACTCAAACGAGAACCTCTGTGATTTATGAAAATGCAATAACAACGCATTAACCTCGTATTGTGATAACAATAAAAATTAAAATATTTTTAAATAAAAAATGAAATTAAAACAATTCAAAAAAAATTGAGAGGCGAAATGGTAATATTGGAATTCAAAGTGATAAATTTTTAAAAACACGATCACATTAAACCCAATAATCTGGATAACATAATGGGCTATTATGGTTATCGTTTATTTCAACACAATTTGGTGTGATTTGGGTTTGATATGGGTGTGATAATCATGTGATTATTACACGATTATCACAAGAATTCCACTCGGCTAGGGTTAACTTAAGAAATCAACTACCGATTTGGTGTGATATGGGTGTGATAATCATGTGATATCACTATTATAACAACGCACTCGATTTGATCATGGTTTCAATCGGTTAGGGTTAGACAATTACACATTTATCACAACGACTACTCATAGTTTCGATAGGTTAGAATTATACAATCACACATTTATCACAACGATTACGGGCGAAATCCACCAAACGATTTGGTGTGATATGAGTGTAATAATCATATGATATCGTTGTTATAGCATCACTTGCGCACTCAATTTGATAATGGTTTCAATCGGTTAGGGTTAGACAATCACACATTTATCACAACGATTACTCATGGTTTCGGTAGGTTATGGTTACACTCGATTAATCATGGTTTCGATAGGTTATGATTACACAATCACACAATTATCACAAGAGAAGAGAAGAGAGTGAAAACGAACGTGATCAATCCAGAAAAAAGGGATAATTATAATTAATTAAAATAAAATAAAAATTACTTAATTACATTACCGTCCTTATTAATTTATTTATATTTAACTAGTTGTGTACCCGTGCAATGCGGTGGGAGCCATAAATTTTAACGATTATGAAGTTTCATTGGTTTTATAAGATAAGATTTAACGATGATATATGTTACACTTGGTCTTTACATATTAATACAATTTGAATAAATAAGAGTTATGGTTCCAATTACAGACTATCGATGAAAAAAATTGTATGACAGTTTAAAATCCAACATATTTAAAAGACTCCACAAATGTATTCGATTTACACCAAGAGCAAAAAACCAAGAAACTTGAGTTTTAAGATAAACACTCAAAATCAATAAAAAAAACTACAAATTTGACAGATCATAAGCAATGAAAAGACCAAAAACGATTGATTTTAGAATGAAATTTCAACTGCTTACCCTCTTTCTTGTCTAAAAATTCAGATTAAGGTTGAATTAATACATGTATATATATATATTTCAAAAAAACCCAAGAACATATTAATTCAGAACTTATTATAGAGTGCAATTTGGACAGCCTAACCCCAAAATATATATATATAT